GTTTTGTGTAAATATCTCGTTGCGATGCACCACAATCGCCTCTCTAATGTAGCTGGATTTTCTGCCGCCAGTGAAAAAGCTCGCATTCAATTTATTTTTTTAATTATACAAATCAAGAACAAATTCATAAATATCCATATTTTACGAGAGATCATCTCGCATGAGTGCGGAATATATATACGCGCGGAACTTTTCATTTTCAACAACGCGTTCTGGATTGTTGAACAACTGAACCATATTGTCAAGTATTCTTATCGTGCATCAACTTTATCATACGTGATTCGAAATCTATCCGGTTTTAATTTCTGATTCGAAATCAAGAGAAATATTTATGTATATTTATCGAACGAGCATAGTAACACGGCCTATAGACATTTTGGCTCATAATTGATCTGGTTTTTTTCAAACAATGCCATTTGTGATGATGAAGAAAGAGAGCAGAAAAAAAATCGATTACCACAAAACATTATCGATTCGAATCAAAGCGACAACACGTCTGCCAAGTGTATTTCAAGCAAATCAAGTGGCAATTCTGCTGTGCACGATAAACATATAAATTGTGAATGGTATTCTGTGCAATTTACATTTATTTATTTATTGATCACGTTCAATTATATGTATATAAAGTATATTTGACTCAATACCAAAATTGGTACATATTATCCATCGATAAATGCGGAATTCCAAAAATTAAATACTATAATTTGTAAGCGAAAACAAACGAAAAAAAAATTTGCAATACAGAAAATGATTTTTAATGAAAAGTGGCTTTAAATGGTCAATTTATACGGAAAAATTGAGCATATTTGGAATTAAAATGCATTAATTTGTACACTTCGATGTAACCACTTTTATTGCCACCGCTAAACAGGTAAAACAAATATGCAATTGATTTAATGGTTTCCGTGTGTTCGATCTAGATGTTAATACGTAAATTCAAACCACCAATCACTTGAACAACTTACAAAAAAAACATCATTCCACACCATCTCGTACGTACACACACACATAAACAATGTCCATTTCGAATGCGCTGTAACCGCGCTAATTAATTACATAGCTTTTTTGGCATTTAAGAGACGAGAGAAGATTGAAAAACAAAACACCTATCATTCCGTTGTTAATTACACACATGATTTGTAATCTTGAACACAAATCGCATAAATACCGCGTTAAAATACTCGCATTTTGGTTTACAATCAATTATTATAGTGGCCGCTTCGCATTTGGCAGGGTGGTATAAAAATCAGCGCTTGTGCCGTTTCGTTTGCACCTGCATCACATGATATTTATGAGGCTGTAATGTTATCATGTTATTAACAGCTGCGCCTCAATTCAATGAAAACATATGTTTTCGTTGTCAATATGTAATTTAAAATGCAATTTGTGATTGGCGCGGAATTTCTCACACCACACACACTCTCTCTCTCTCACGCTCACCGCGCAAACAAGTGAACGAGACACCATTTGAAAACAATGTTAATCAATAGATACACAATATTCCAATTAAATAATTATACAAATCTCTTGGACCTGTCACTTTCCCATGGCAATATGTGGTGTTTCTGAATATTTTCAAAAGTGGCATTTATATAGTATATTATGAATGTTTCGGACATTTTCTTACATGTGTTTTTGTTATCGTCAATGTCACGGTTTCAAGGCTTGATTATCATGCTAAAGAAATAGAAATTTATCGCATTGAACAAGTAAAAATGTTTAGGGATTGAAATGAAGTGAAGATAATCTTGATAAATTTTTTTTTCTCTTTCGCTCGATTTACGACGTTGATTCTACGTGTTCGGGACGATCAGGCCACAATAATCCATTGTTTGTCTATTCATGTGTGTCTGTGTCTTTTGATGAACAGCCGATTTCCATTAAGGCACACCACACGATGCCGAAAAAGAAACATGAATGTAAAGAGCCTTTTTTATAGCGAACCATAGTGCGCGCATTTGAATGTAAATGATGCGATGACTCGACATACTGGCCAACCAATAAAAGTCATCTGATGCATTTATACGCACAAGATAACAAGAAAATGATCTTAGCAAGAATCGTTGATGATGACGGCGATGACGATTGTATCAATTCAATACAAAGTTTGTATTGCGTTGATGGTCATTGGAACAAATCGACATACTTATCACTCAGCTCTTGTCTCTCACACTCAGCGGCTACTGCATTATTCACATTGGAAATGGACATGTGCTTGAAAAAGAGAGAGAGAAAGAGGAAGAAAGTAAAGAATCATTACGATAAAATAATAATTTTCTGTGCTTTTTTCTCTATCCCTCTACCTTTCTTAATCCAAAAAAGTGTTTCTCATTCGCTCTCGGTGTTCATTTGTTAAGTGCGACTAACGAAAAATTATTATCGTTGTTTCTCTGTAGTTTTTACGATCGAATTATGAGAATGAACGTGATCCAGATGAATCGTATTTTCATCGTTGGTTATTATTAATACATTCGATTTTGGTATCTCTCATTTCGTTTTATGGCTTTAATTTATTTTTTTATGTGTATTTCTCTCTCTCTCTCTCCCTTTCTCGTCGTGTTCTGTATCGAATGCGGTTACTGTTGCAACATTTTAATGTGTCGTACATTTTTCATGTCTCTGTTTTGGCTTTATTATTTGTATTTCATCGTTGATCATTTTGTACGACAAAAAAGGTTGATGCTTTCTCTTCGTGAATAATTTTTTTTTTGTTCATAATTTGTGGCATTTAAGCGGAATCGATTTATTTTTTCTCAGATGATAAGAATGCAGTAAAATCCGTGCTAGATTTGTGACTTTTTTATCTCATCATCGTCGGCTTTGTTCCTCAATTCGGCGAAACTGTTAATTGAATTGTTATTTGACAACAATATAATAAACACGAGCCATTTTTTTAAAATGATTTACGATTTTTTCGGAGTTTACCCCACTTGTTTTTGGTATATATTTGTTGCGGTGATTTATGGTGAAATTGAATGACAAAAACGGATTTGCGGCCGAATTACAATGCAATGCACTTCACCAATAATACGTCGTATATATTCGTCGAACACATAACTGCACGTAATTTATCAAATTGCCACATTATAGCCTCAGCTTGAAGCTTCGAGAATTGTTCAAATCGAAAAATTGAAGGTTGTAATAAACACAAATTGGTTGCAAATGCACACTAAAATTGGTTATCGTTTCGCTTTACGATGTTTTGCCGTTTGATATTCGGTCAATTTGTAAAGCAGTCATGTGTTAAGTCTATGAACCAAAAAAAAAAAAACAACATCAATATTGAGACTAGGTAATCTCTCATAAGTGAATCACATAAAAGCGATGCGATTAGTTCGTGTATTTATCCAATTCTTTAGCTCATTTCAATTCCATTTCATTCTTTAATTAATAAAATCATTCTTCGTTTTTAGTTTCTTTCATTTCTGTTGAAACACGTTTCATACAGTTTCCAATGCAATTTGTGGCCTTGCCATAAACTCTCAATTCAATGTGGATTGCAACCGGCTACAAACGGCTGTGATATGCTTATGATATATTGGTGAACATTACAAATGAATACAAATATGCGTTAAAAACTGATTAAGATCTGTATATCAGGCAAATCGAGTGGTGTTTCGGTCTGAGCCAACCTCACTACCTTAAAGAAAAACTATTTTCATATCTCTTTCGAAATATGAATTGCGGCTTTGGAGTCGACGAAATCATCATTTGAAAATTGGTTATGGGCAATTTCTTCTCTTAATAAACTCTCATTTATAGTCGAAAAATTAATGTGACGTGTGCTAATTATGCCGTATCATTGGCCACTGTCTGTTTCCTTCACTTTATGTGATTCATTTCGGGGGCATATTACATATTCAATATTTCAAAAGAAAATGCGTCTCACACCAACAATATGCCATGCTGACACTTTGTTCAATAAATTCATACGTCAACTTTTACACGGACAATTAAACTTTTCATTTTTACCGTTACTTTTGTAAGTGAATCAACGCCGATGAAATTGAACTTTCAGGCGTTTTATTGTTCCAAAACATTATTTTCATTCGGTCGCTCCTCTCCAGCGGCTCGTAATACAGTTGAATTAGTATGTCTTTTGTCCGAAACAATCATGTTTAAATCGAAAATTTACATGTGTAATGCTGATGATTGAAATAAGCCTATCAAACACAATGCGTCAACGATACATAAAATGCGCTTTTTTCATCACTGCTTCTCTCTTGCTATTTTTTTCCGTGTCTGTCTGACAGATTTCTCCAAATCGATTTGTCACTTCGAGTTCGCCGAATTGAAATGATTGTACACAATTGTGATATCGTGTGTTCATGGTCGCACGCATTTGTGTGAATAGGCATTAAAACGGATTAAATTCGAGCGCTGGTGGTCTGCGAAAAGCTACCACTCTCTCAACAAGCCGTCTTAATTTTTCAAACGGAACTCGGCACGCCGATACTCATTGCCTCCACCGCCGCTGATGCCGACAAAATGACATCGCATCTTCATCTTTTTTCAACGGAAATTCACGCAGTTTTTGATTGTTTATGTATTTTCATTTGATTGCTGGCTATTGCCTGCGGCGGCATCAATCGCACATCCTATTACTCATCGTTAAACTGTTTCTATATATAGAGGATCATGATGGCCATTCGATTTCACGATCATTCATTCTTCTTTTTCTTCCAAGCTCATTTATGGCTCATTTTCAATATACAATGTTATGGAGACACCCGGATCGTAACTTAAGATCCATACAAACAGATAATATTGATCTCACTACTTCCGATGCATCGAGTGTTTTAATATCATGTATGAAATTCCATTGTGATGATTTTATTCCAGCAAGGCGCAATATGAATACAAATTTTTCGCTTTCGCTTTGATTGTTACACGCGATTAAAATGATTTGTAGCATTCTTTCTTTAAAATGAAGAAAAATAACGAAACATTCTTTACTAATTGAAATTAATTTTTTGCATTTTGTTTTATTTAATTCGCAGGAACCGGAAATTCTCCTGCGCACAGTTCAACGCGAAGCATTAGTCCGAATTCTACATCACCGGGACAATTTATCCATCAGCAATTACAGAAGAGTGCAACAACAGCCAGTTTGAATGATAGCTTAACAGCGATTTCATCGCCACAACAAACGGTATGCATTCACATCATTTTCATGAAATTAATCGTTTTGAATTTGAATGAAGTTAAGACGCAATTTGCAACACACACACACACATATCAATCGCAGTTGACTATCGTTTTTTTCTTCGATGGTCTTTGAATTGAGCAGGTAGAAAAAATCGCATGTAAATTGCAAAAAAAACCTTTACCGATACACTTATCTTTTTTTCCCGAATTGTATTGTTCCGCCCTCTTTTCGTTTATTTTTCTCATGTATGTGTTGCATGCTGGACAAACAAAAAAAGACGATACGATGCCAAAAACACCAAATTGTGCATCGTCGTTAACAAAGTGACTTTTTTCCACTCTCTGACTCTCTCCGGTATGGGAATATTTTTATTCATCGACCTCAAAATTCAATAAATTACACAAAATTCTCGCATAATTTATTAAAGAATCGGTCGCATTTCAAAAAGGAACATATCGGATTTGTTGTTATTTATTCTTTTTTCTTGTTCAATTCGCTTCTCCCGAATCGTTTCATTTGTTTTGAAGTCGCTTGAAAGTCCGAGACAACGACAACGAGACAGTGAGAAAGAAAATAGCGCAACGCCACGACAAACATTAAATACAAATGCATACACACAAAAAGGATGACTGTCTCACGGTATTTTTGGGTTTGTTTTGTCGAGTTCTGTTTGTCCGGTTTGAATCGTTACACGCAGGTTCTACAGTATAGCGTAAAACCTTTGCCGAAAACCCATTTCTTTTCCATCTACTTTTTGTTTTGATTGCACACATCATTCGATTATTTTGACTCTTCTATTTCGTATATGTAGAGTAAACGTTTTGCCTGAAAATGCTAACTCAATAAAATAAAATTTAAGACTTTTGTTGGCCAAATTGTTTCTCTACTTCTTTTTCGCTTTGGTTTTTATTTTCCTTGTGTGATATGTGTGCGAAGGTGTTTAAAAGAAAAATTCGATAGCAAAGGAAAAAAAAATGTAACATATCTGAATGAGAATACCTATATGAACTGCGCTTGTAATGTCGACCACATCGTTTAATTTACGTCTTTATTGATGATGAGAGAATATATCGGTTCTCATTGTTTTGTCGTACCTGCATCGTTCATAACATTATATTTTTTATTCTCTAAAAATATTTTCGTTTCATTAATGTACACCCCATAATTAATCTAATATGTTTTTTGTTTTTATTTCTCTTCATTCTCGATTGTGTCTGTTGGCTGCGTTGCATGCTTATGCACATTTTTTGGAATGCATTGTTTGCTGGTCATTAAATGCAGTCATCCGTAACAACATTCAAAACGCCCATCACAAACGGAAGTGGTAACCACGGTGGTATCGGTGATTCAAATATGCCAGGCGGTACAGCAACTCCAGGAACGCCAAACTCAAAGTCAAAGGTTTGTTTCATATTCGATGAACCTTTTTTTTTCTTCGCTTTTTTTCGCTCTTTTCATTTATGGACGAGAAAAATGATTCGCTCGATTGAGATCTTATCTTAAAACTATTTAAAGAATAAAAACAGAAAATAAATCCCTATGTCGCAATGAAACATGGTTAGTCATTTGGAATTTCATTTTGAAGCGGATATGCTCAAGGGATTTTATTAAATCATTTTTTTGTTTTGTTTTATTTACGAAATTATATTTTATCTTTTGAAAAAGATCATTCGGTCAACGATTGAACTATCCGATATTGTTATCAGTATCTATGTCTTAAATCACATTGCAAGCAATATTGGTATAATATTGAGCTATTTCCACTCGGTCAGTGCCACCAAAAGCCATCAAATCAAGGTTTACTTTCGTCAAAAAAGAGATTTTCACCTTATCTTTATTACCAATCTTTAAGCATCTTTAAGCACTTGTTCTTCGATGCACGTTCGATCAATGAAACAAAAAAGAACTTCGTTCATTATATGAATGTCGTTTTGAATCAATACCGCGACTGTATTGGTTAAATATCGATCGTAAAAACATGTCATTCAACGTGATTAATTGTGTGTAGATATAACGTTACTAAGCACTTCTTAATGATGTTCGTTGTTACCTTCAATCGAATAGAAATCAATCCACCAAAATCTGTTTCCAGTTTCATGTCGCACAAGTGTTTGTTCGCTTCTTTTCGATCGATTACAATGCATGATCCCAAGTTGAAGGTACATTTTGATTTTTTTTTCAAATGTGAAAAGCGAATTGAATGCGGTTGAAGGTTGAAACATTGATTAATGATGATCTGTTAAATAGAGTCGATTTCAACTCGGTTTACGGTATCAAATCTCCAAATCTCTTAATGCAAATCGAATTGGTTTAATTAGAGCGCATATACGTTCATCACAATCATGTAACAAATACAAATAAACACACTCTTTTCATTTAGACAAAAATATTCTTGACTAACGGTAAACTAAAATGATTGATTTGTTTACAGGATTCGTCGCAACATGTTCGGATCGTTGTTGCTTTATATCCATTCAAAGCCATCGAAGGCGGCGATCTGTCATTAGAAAAGGTAAGCACATACAACACATATTCTCTTTATTTATTTCGATTTGCCGACAATCAATTTTATGTTTTAAATTTTGTTTAATTTTGTTTATAGAATGCCGAATATGAAATAATTGACGATTCTCAAGAGCATTGGTGGAAGGTTAAAGATCAACATGGCAACATCGGATACATACCCAGCAATTATGTTAAACCAAAAGAAACGCTCGGATTAGATAAATATGAGTATGTATTCGAAATCATTTTGTCGCGCTCCTGCTGCGTATCATATTCAAATTAATATTAATCCATTTTGTTTCTTCACATTTTTCGATGTGTTGCATTGCAGATGGTATGTTGGTGATATGTCACGTCAACGTGCCGAATCGTTACTCAAACAAGGTGATAAAGAAGGTTGTTTCGTTGTAAGAAAATCATCGACAAAAGGTCTTTACACACTGTCACTTCATACCAAAGTGTAAGTATCAAACCGTTATTTGAAAAAAAGAAAGAAAAAGAAAATTGAAGCAACACGAATAACGCATCGATTTCTTCTCCAATCCACACAGCCCTCAATCACATGTCAAACATTATCACATTAAACAAAATAGCAGAAATGAGTATTACTTGTCAGAAAAGCATTGTTGCGAAACAATTCCAGATTTAATCAATTATCATCGTCATAATTCCGGTGGATTAGCTTGTCGCTTGAAATCATCGCCATGCGATCGACCAGTTCCACCAACAGCCGGTTTATCACACGACAAATGGGAAATTCATCCGTCAGAATTGATGTTGCTAGAAGAGCTCGGTTCTGGGCAATTCGGTGTTGTGCGCCGTGGTAAATGGCGTGGATCTATTGACACTGCCGTTAAAATGATGAAAGGCGGAACAATGTCAGAAGATGATTTTATAGAGGAAGCCAAAGTGATGACGTAAGTTAATTGAAAACATTTTGCTTGTAGTTTATTTATTCTAAATTGCATGAAATAACAAAATTCTAATTATAAATATTCACTTGCAGTAAGTTACAACATCCGAATCTAGTGCAGTTATATGGTGTTTGTTCAAAACATCGACCAATTTACATCGTAACCGAATACATGAAACATGGATCTCTCCTAAATTACCTCAGACGACATGAACAGTCGTTGATTGGCAATATGGGACTCTTGCTGGATATGTGCATACAGGTAATAATAATTGAATGCCGTCTTCTTATCGAGAGTTGTCTCTGTGCTATTTTCAAAATCTAATCGAATCTCTTCATATTCATTTACCAGGTGTGTAAGGGAATGTCTTATTTGGAGCGACATAACTATATCCATCGTGATTTAGCTGCCAGAAATTGTTTAGTTGGTTCAGAAAATACGGTAAAAGTTGCTGATTTTGGTTTGGCACGTTATGTCCTTGATGATCAATATACAAGCAGCGGTGGAACCAAATTCCCAATCAAATGGGCACCACCAGAAGTATTGAATTACACACGATTCTCATCGAAAAGTGATGTTTGGGCATACGGTAAGCAATCACATTTCAATGAGTGAATTATAAATGAGTTTGCTATGACTTCTAATGACTTTTGTTATTTTATGATGCAGGTGTTTTGATGTGGGAGGTGTTCACATGCGGAAAAATGCCATACGGTCGACTTAAGAATACTGAAGTGGTTGAACGCGTTCAACGCGGTATTATTTTGGAACGTCCGAAAGCATGTGCTAAGGAAATTTATGAAGTAAGTATAAAAGAAATCAATATACCTTGATTCATGTGGTCTAACAAATATCTTTGTTTTGATTTTCAAATAGGTCATGAAAAAGTGCTGGGCACATCATCCGGAAGACCGACCAAGTTTCCGCAATCTAAAAGATCAGCTGGCATTAGTCGCACAAGGTCTAACTGACTAGGATGAACTGAAACCGTTCTAAGAAGAACAAAAACCATATAGTCCATTGATAACATGAAAGAATGAAAATATGAAAGCATGAGAGAGAGAACAAAAAGAATTCACTTTTATTCGACATCAAAACTAAACGTAGATTGAAAGTAAAAGAAATTTCATAATCAATAATTAGATAATCCAATTGTGGTATCAATGAAAATATCAGCAATGAAATTTGTATAAATATTGTAGTAAACGCGTGTGCTTTGATAAAACAACAACAAAAATATATAGATATTCGAAACGATTTATTGCATAACAATATTAGTATATAAATATCGATATTTGCGGATTAACGGAATTTGTTTCGCAGGAATTTCAATATAAAACAGAACAAAACAAAATGAAAAAAAAATGAAGAACAAACAGGAAATGATTTGATGTAATAGAAAGAGATAAGTTTGACATTGCGAAATAATTTTACAAACTAAACCAAACAAAAACAAATATCAAACTACATTTTTCTTCCAAGTTTTTGATACGAGAACAATTACTTTCCATTTACAGAAGATATACAAAAAAGAAACATGTGAATCTTGTTGTTGTGAATATTGGACACAAAGAAATGAACATTTGACACAATTTATGACGTTTTTGTAGTGTATTTTTTATTAAAAATCGACTCAACCGTTTTTACCATCTTTTTTACATAGAAATTAGAGATATTCCCAATGGATTTTTTGTAGTGAATGACGTTTTTTCCGATCGAATTCGATTCGTGCGCACGCTTTTCATTCGGCACGAAATATTATATGCATGCCCCCTCCCCATTTTAAAGTAGAATGTTCATTTCTTTTAAGTTTAGATAAATGATGATAATAGCGTTTTATAGTAATGCAAAAATAATGGCAAATCGGTGCAACTCAAGCAAGCCAAATTTAAAAGTCATGCATAGTTAATGGAAATATTATTATTTAAGCAAACACAAGCATCTTGAGCGCGCTGAAAAATTCAAAGAAAATTAGCAAACACAAAAAAAAAACATTCATAATCGCCGTTCTTATAATAAAACAAATGCTAACCCAACTTAGATATTAACCCATGAACATATTACTACTAGCATTTTAACCATTCAAAACAAATCCAACGTACTACGATCAAATGATGAACGAATTATTATTATTGAATCCTTCTGTTAAAAAGAAAATGAGAAGCCAACAAACTAACCGAAACAATGCTGAATTGATTTAATAACAAAATGAATAATGTGATTTAATGTTTTAAGATTTGAACTTTTTTCTCCCTTTGAATCCTTTTCAGCTTGATATTCTGTATGATTTACTTATATAAATATATTTCATGTAATACAATATGATTAAATTGAAAAACCATTAAATAGTCGTTGTTTTCATTTCTGTTTTATCCTATTATATGCATTTCTGAATCACCTTGATTTTTTTTTCAGATTTATTCCCATTTCGACTTTTTATTCGTAGATTTGCAGAATAAAACAAAAAAACGCGATATCATATGGGGCCAAAGAAGATTATAGGCCAAGATTGTTATATTTATCAATAACATATACAGTAGGATGTGTTTTTGACATAAAGAAAAGCATGTTTGGTACGTTTTTATAGCATTGATCAAAAGTAGAGTAAAACAAATTTTCGACCTCAAAACTTGACTACCATACATTGCATGGCAAAAGAAAAGTAGCAAATTCTATTGCATAATTAATATACATTTAAATCTATACAGCACTTGAAATAAAGGGAAGACTCTTTCTTTATTTCGACAAGTTCCTGAATATCTATTTTTGAACGAAAAATCATGTTAACCTTCATACAGTTTTCGTTCATACGTGAAAATTTGAGAAGAATTCTAGCAAAAATGATTTAAGAAAAATGAAGACTTTTTTGCGCTTCATTTTTTTGGCGGATGACACTAGATAGAATGGACTTTCAGGAAATTCTTTCAATTTTTTTGGTTTTTTGAGCAAAATTTTAAGTGAAAATTATCTTTATCACTCGATTATAAAGTTTATTACAATGCACATACCTTTCTATTCTACACAGAGAGAAATATTTGAGTCACCACTCGCACTTTGCGTCCACTTGGATGAAATTAACACCAAAAATAAAGTAAAATAGAGTGCGTAACTCATTTTTGGGGGTAGATGCTCTGCTAACACCCCAAGTGCGAGTTACCGTACTAGAATATTTCTCTTTGAGTATAAGTCTAGTAGGGCCTTTCTGTGTCTCATCGATAGATCTGATCTAATAGGTCTTACCTGTCATCGCTTGATTCCTGCTAACAAATATGACCTGATTTTTTTCAAATAACTTCTCCATTACGAAATGAAAATGCAACAAACGGAAAATGTCCTTCAGTAAATATTCTCCCAAGTCCAAAATGTATAGGGAGTTATTTGGAATTTGTTGAAATAATTTACTTCGTTGGAGCATTGCTAAAGATTCGCAATCGAATAACTAAAAAAATCTCATCCAATTGACCGAAACCATTGTGATCGCATGAGTATCTGATTTAAGTGTTGATTAAATAATAAAAAAAATTCGTTGTTTTTATCTTTTTGTTCATTTCATTTTTTATTGATGTTCAATTCATTTTTCGTTTGCTTTTAAGATTTTTTTTGTTTAAATAACATTTATATTGTAAATTTCGAACAATTCAATTCTCTTATTATTTATTATTTAAATTTATGAACAATAAAATTGAAAGTTTTAAGTTTTGTAATTCGTTATGCATTTTGTGTTAATTTCAGTCATTTATTTAATAAAGTTGCTTTGAAAATGTTGCTTTTTATTTTTTAAATACATTTAAATGAGAAAATGGAATTATGAATTTGTAAGTCCTCCTTTTGTTAGCACCGAATCGATTGAGATACAATTTCAGAATTAAATTTGTTTCTTTTTTTTACCAAAAATAAATGTATTAAGGCTTTTCACAATTCAGCGACATATAACGTTACTTAGAATTAATGAAAAAAAACAAGCGTCGCCAGCTAACTAGAATTAAATCGACATCCATTAAAAAATAAGCATGTTTTTCTGAAATGTGTCTCAATCCATTCTGGCTGTACAATTTCGGAGCCATTATTTGGAAAAATACATTTTTTGAATTTTGTACGTCTTTTCCTGAAGACAATATTCAAAGTTACTACGTAAGTGTATATGTATAATTCAAAATAGAATTCACAACAAGCGATATATTATCTATCTATTTATATATATATATATATTTTCTTTGTCTGAATATTTCAAAATCTTTATTCTGCCATTATACGAATTAGACATTTAGGTGAGAAAAAAAATCTATGCCGATAACAAATATCTTATATAAACGCGAGTAAAATATATTTATTGCGTCTCAAATGTGCACAAACCTTATTTTTTGCCGTAAAATAATGTATACATATAATAACTTTAGAAAAATCTATGAATTGAAAAATAAACGATAGCGATTTGATAAACGAGGCATTTTTCTTTTGATTAACCCTAAAACTGTCCTTCTGCAATCCACCTTAATCCCGTCTTTGGGGGCCTCTCAGTGCCCGTAGTGTATTTTGTATGATTTTGTTTGAAAAAAATTCGATATTTCGAGAAGTCTAGTGTCTAATCGTAAACTAAAGACATGAATGTACGCATCAGGTTGGCAGCTACGTTTTGTATACTGTGCTGACAAAATAAATTAATATTGGCTAAACAAATTTTTATTAAATTGTATCACTTCGTCTTTGGGGCACTCAAACCCGCAACACATGATAAAATTTCTCCGTGTTAAAATGGCATTTTGTCGTAATTTTAACATGGAGATATTTTTTCACATGTTAAAATACAGTTTTACCCGCAAAGAAATGTGTTGCGGGTAAAATGACCATGTTAAAATGGCATTTTGCTCTGATTTCTTTGAATTTTAACATCTGAGTTTTCTGAGAGTATGTTTTATTCCAACTCGAGTACCAAATGCAGCTCAAAATCGAGTAGTGATGCAAAATCTTCAATTACAAAACCAAATTGTACACGTGAGTGGCAAACTTCGGGTAGTTCGAGAACAGAGAGATACGAGGCGTTGGCTCAAGTTAACCAGTTGTAAGAAGAATTGGAAAAATAGTTAGCCAATTTGTCGGACAAATTCAATCATTGAAACTGTCACAAATATTTGGCACTGATAATGCCAAATTATGAAATGTCACAATGTATGAAGCGACGAATTGATATTATTTTTTCAGCGAAATTGAAGGTATTAACTGTTTGTTTTTATTTATTATATGAAGCATCAGTGAAAGTAAAAGTGTATCAATAGAACTCATCACGTCTAGCGCTAAAAAACTCAAAATGGTTTATGCGAATAATTTATGTT